ACCACACACACACACAAACAAACACTTTGAAACCAAGCCAACCCTAAATAAAGTGCAAAAAGCAGGGAGGAGGTTCCAAGGAGCACTGCTCACTTCTTTAAGCCAAATGTAGGCCTATATAAAAAGATTGCTTCGCCGGCCAACACCACAATCAACTGGTGCAATTTCAAGTGCATACTCAGTACATGGTTTTTTGCATTTTTCCTCTTCCTCCTCTAACCTCTCAAACTTTTTTCTGAAATATTTTATCCCTTTACTGAAAAATCCACTTCCTACACGCCTGCCTGGTGATGCATTTAACACATGTTAAACGTCAGGAAATGCTGTCGCACTGAATATTGCTCCGCATCTTTCATATCTCTATTCATTTTTGGCAATTTTTAAATAAATTCATATAATACTTTTACTTCTATTCTTTGTAGTTTGTCATACTTACCATAGACCATATCGCACTTGCAATGGAGCCCTGTTTTAGATTCATACAGCCACAACACGTCTCCATGATTGTAATAACCAACAAAAAATTATCAGAAAATGATCTATCGACTAACGACTTGCTCTATCACGATAATGTTACGAAATGTTAAGTGCGCAATACTGCGTCCTTTTTATAACGCTCTCGGCTTAGGGCGTATCCGGGAGTAATTTTCTATGTTTGTTTGCTCGAAATCCCCATCCTTCATTTCGCAATATTCACTATGATAATTCCTTTCCCCGAAACATATTATGCAAATGAGTCATCCCGGTACTGTGACGTCACTGGTGAGGTCGATGCTTGGGTCACCCCAGACGTTCATAACAACATGCTTATCTCTTACACTTTTATTTCTCTGACCTCGTTTATTATAACCTAAAGGCATGGATTATATTTCTTGGTTAGCCAAGATACTCCATGGATTATGAAGTAATGCCAATTATTAAGACACGAAGTTCTCTTTAGCACCCATTTTATATAAATCATTCATGTTTGGTTGGTAAATTAGGTAATCAACCTAGAACATGTAGCAAAGATAATACCCTTTTAATGTTTATTCGAAAGTGTCTGGCAAGATTTGATAGAGACGCATCAAATGTCACTTGAATATTTCTTTACAGGTACTAGAAGTAGAAGGGTATTTATATCACGTTTACGTGTTAAGAAAATGAGGGTCCGTATGACAGACAGTTGGCCTTGTAACACACGGTTAGGGTTGGGTAAGTGTGTCAACATCCGCATACCTGTACAAAGTAATGAAAACACATTAAAGTGTGTGTGTGTGTGTATTTGTGTGTTTGTGGTGGTGGTGGTGTGGGGGGGGGGTGCAGGGGGCTCTCTTGCCCAGCTGTGAACGACACAGGGACAGGTCTTCACCATTTACACTTTTCTAGATTTTCATGTAGTTCACAGGCAGTTTAATTTATTGAAAAATTTGTCAAATATTTCAGTTAAATCCACTGCATTTAACTTTATTCCCAGACAAAGGATATACAGGTTTTTCCCATAGTGATACACATGGCAGCCATTTCACAGGGGGTGATTTATACAGTAATCCCAAAAATACATTAAGTATTACTTTTTGCATCCTGTTCCACACCTATCTTACAACTTCTTCATATCTTTAATTGATTAAGTGTAAAGCTTGAAAACGTACACTGGGATCCTCTTTCGTAGATTTGACGACATTGTATTACCCCAACTCTAGGACAGTGGCTTGCGTCATTTAGTGACCTTCCCTTCTACCTGTTATCAGTGGTGCCAATGACAAACTAAAATAAAAGAAGTTGGTCTATTTTTTCTTCAAAATGTCTTTTCAGATACATTTAACAGTTTAAAAAAAATGAGCTTGCATGCAGTATATCTTACAGTGTACTAAATAAATTTTAACACAGAAACAATAGCAACAAGTAGATTGCATATAAAGCAAACAAAATGATAAAAAACGAAAACAAATAATCTCCCCTTAACAACAAAATGTTACTCTTATCACAGTTTTTACATAAATAAACACATTATTTATAAATGCGTCTTTAGTCAATGCAGGGTCACTAATGAAATTGACCTACCCGCACTTCCTAATTTAGACGCAGGAAATGTTACTTGTGGATTAAGAGGGAATTTTCTGCTGAATGGGCTTGTCAGTGGTATTGTTTACTCATCAGACTCAATTCTCAAATTGAATGAGCTCCGTTTTAAATATTTGCACTTGATTATCTCGTTCTAATTTCGGTAGCGTGAAGGCCACGTTTTCTGTACACCTGTATGCATTCAATAACAAAATCAAATCAAATTTGTAATACGTGTAAAATAAATTCAAGCAACACTGAAACAAGCCCATTTTTCTGAATTACCACCCGTTCCACAATTTTTACAAAATAAATTGAATAATAAATGCAATAAATAAGCTGAAAATATGCGCATTAAAAAAGTAAAAGATGCCCCACATGGCAGAATACAATTGTACTTATATAAAACATATCTTTTTCTACGGCAAAAGCAGCAAACAACAGTGTTGTTCCATAGCAGATCCATCTACAGGACACACTGGGCCAAGTTTCCCCCTTTCCATAATAATAAATATAACAAATGGAACGAAACAAAAACAAAAAAATTGTCCTATTTATAGTTTTATCTCCCCCCCCCCCCCCCCACCACACACACACACACACACAGGAAAGCCCTTGATCCGCCGGTACAGTTCAATGATATATAAAAAATATGATCAACTCAATATGTACTTATGACAAATTTCCTCGTAGTAGCTGACTCGGTTAAGGGCGAGACTCCTGTGGCAACTGAAGTACTGTACTAAACCAAGTCGGTTTGTGTGTTTGAATTGATTTTGTTAACACACAGTTGAATAAAAAAAAAAAAAAACATATACGTCTACCAATTATGACTTATCATGTATATTCATCAGGTAAACTTGAATTATTTAGGATGTCATATGTCTACCCCATTAATGGCACACATTAATTGTCAATATGCTTACTTTTTAAATAATGTTCTAACATTATTAAAATATAAACGTTAGTGATTTAACCGTTCGTTTCCACTTTGGAGGTCATTTAACAATTAATTCGAGATAAAACGACTATACAATGTCTGTGTGTTTGGCACATAAAAACCTGACTAATCACATTTCGTAAGGCAGCTGATACGGTACGTGTTAACAGTCCCGTGACATTTATCTTGCTCCTTTTCATACAGTTGAAGTGGTTCGAACTTGAGATAACTCGCCCCATGCCTGTTTAGGCGGAGTGGGAGGTGGGCGCTCTGCTTGAATGGCTTGGGTGGTTTGCCTTCGAACTAATCGATGGCTTGGTCCGGGTTCGTCATCGGCCGTGGTAAAAGTAGCGCCCTCTATGTTTTCAAAATTGGTATCGTCTGCTGAGGTTGCTTCATTTTTGACGGTGTAACGTTCTGGGTTGACCTCTTGGCCCTCGGCATCCGGGCATGCGCTTTCCGTCGGTAACGGACTGGGATTGATTGCCAAAGTTTTGGAAATGTACTTTTTCCTATATAGGAGAAATGATGGATACATTGCATGAATATGGAAGACGAATTAAACTAGACAGCAAATACATATATATTGTCTACTTCAACCGTATCTTTAATTGAGCATCCGATGAGAGAACCATCTCTTCCAAAACTGAAGCCTCGTTTTTTCAGTTCATGGCAACTGTGTGAATCTATACTGTAGTTTTGCTAAACGAGGCTTTATTTACGGGAAAGATGTAAAAGGGGCCTAAATAGATGATTTTTCGAACGAATGGTAGACTAGCATGCTAAATACGAGAATTAAAATTAATCAGATTTTTCCTTCGGAAATGAATTCGTAAATGTAAATGGTAGTGACACAACAACCTGAAAGAAAAAGTTAAACATACAGGAATGTTATCCTAATTAACAAAAACAAAGAAAATAAGTAATGACTGTTTGGCTTACACACATATAACCACAACTCGGATTCATAGACTTTTTTATGTGAAGAACTGCTTTTATATCCTTTTCGCTCGTCTTTTAAGATTAAAATCCAAACAAAGTGTTCTCCTTTCTTTAATTGTAACACGCATTATTAAGTCAAATCCGCATTACCTTATCCATATAATGGCAACCGCTATGACCGCAAGGACTAGAACGACTGCAAACACTACGCCAATGACCCAGAGCAAGGACTGCGGTTCCGGAGTGGTAGACAGCTGGGGATCGTAGGCTAGAGGGGGCGACTTGAGCACCGCTGTCGCCACAACGCTGTGGTTGCCTGTGGAATAAAACGTTTTATTTATGTCAACGCAGAACACGGGTACTTAGTCAATTAGTGTTAAGAAGCAATACGTAAAACTACATGGGAACGTATTTAAATGTCTCTCAGACTGAAATAAGCTGGATATATTTATATTCTGTTCATCATGTTTTAAGTAACTTGATCCTCTATTGCGTAGAACGTTAGTTCTGAACTGTAACGCAACAGGCTGCGCCACCGACGAGAACACATAGAAGACTGCATTACCTGGTATATTTCCCTGTACTTTTTACCTTGAAACGAAAACACCTGGAGTGGGCTAGAGTAGGAGGAGGAGTAGATGTAGGATGAGAGCAGAAAGAGAAATGAGATATACGAAATAAAAATAAAAATAAACTACCCACGAGTGTAGAGTAACAGTGTTCACTCACCCAGTGCATCCTCCAATGCACTTATATTGCTCTGCACTGCCGTCAACAGATCTGTTACTGACAGGACGTCGCCGCTCGTTGTGAGGGCATAGAAGGCCACGTCCAAGTAGTTGGAATCGTTGAGCCAAGCGACGGGGTAGCCGGGAGAACGAAGGATATAGTTGTACGTGAATGTGGCATCAGAGGCGATTGTCCTCCTAAAATAACGCAAAGTAATAAATCTGTGGATAGGTGCACGTGTGCATTTTACGGGCGATTTGCTGTTTTACACAAACCTTCCAATATAGTTTTAACGATTGGGTGTCCAATGCAATGTACAGTATAATCACTTTAATCTCGATAAGCACGTAACTCCATGTACGCTTAAAAAATTAAAGAAAAATGCAGTTAAGTTTCAATGTTAACAACTTCAACCAAACTGAACTTACTTCCGGCGGCGTCTGCCGACAGATGTCGCACTGACCAACGTGCACGTGGTATTTGAAGTGGCGGCACAGTAACTGTTGGCCAGTAAAGCTATCATTGTGGTCACGCGTCTGTCCACTGTCACTGTATACTGTGAATGGTAACAACACATGAAAAAATGCCGAAACAAATGCACGGAATGAAAGTAACGCCTTATAGTTTTCTAGAGACCAAGTTCTGTGCTTTAATTCGTTTATTCAAAGGCTAAGTTGAATACAAGTACTGGCTATGTCATTTCAGCAATGTTATTATTATTATTATTATTATTATTATTATTAGAACAAAAATAACTGAATGTAATCAAGCATAACTATAAAAAACGATGTTTTAAACCTATCGAACTCTTAAAACTGATTAAAAAAACAACGCTGTGGTTGGACAAACGATGTGGTGGTTCATGCATGTGGAAAATACACGTGGCCACTCTTACCCTTTCCATGGACATTATCACAGAAATCTTGATAGCATTTACTATCTCTGTATTACTGGGCACCCGCCGCTCGTTCTGCACGGGCATGACGTCATCCGGGAGCTCTGAAAACGTGTTACCCATTAGATTTCAAGGTCCGTGGAGAAAAATGAAGGTTTTCTATGACACCATGGACGGTGCATAGATTTAACTATTAAAAGCAGCAAATGTTACGTTTCGATCAGTAATGAATGGAGATTTGACAAATTATATTGATTTTGTCCCTTATTGGCATAATAGAGCACCAGTCAAATCCTGGACAATATTTCATTTTATCATCCCTGATACATGTAGGTTGGCTTCCATAAAAATATCATAGCCAAGACAATGCCTAATACGGTTTACAGGGAAAATAGATAAACAAAAGTGAAATTGCATATTTGAAGGTAGTTTAAGTGGTTGGAACGAACCCAACTGCCTGAGGTACTTAACACATTTTGTGTAACATTTGCATAATTTAGTGCCCTCAAGGTAATAAAATAAGAAACCAAACGAAATTACAAAACGATATAGCAAAGTTATAAAACATTACACCAACTGTGTGCACCACTGACGTGACTCAAGCGTCCTCATTTTTGTGGGACACACACACACACACACACACACACACACACAAACACACACACTTACCCGTGCACCTGCCGTTGACCAGTATGAGACCTGCAGGACACTGGCAGGTAAAGCTCCCCTCCGTGTTCACGCACACCTGGGTGTCCAGGCAGCCGTCCCGTAGCAGCCAACACTCGTCTATATCTATATTACCATAAATAAAACCTAAGACTTTACACCTTTACTCCATAATTATACAGTTATTGTATCAGTTGTTTGACATATGATGAGGATCTGGTTGACTGTGACTTTCTTTGTCCATAAAAATACCAGGATGCGGTACAGCTTCGTTTTTTAAAAGAGTTAAGAAAGAATTCAGAACAAAACATGAAAACTCTTGGCAGAGGTAAATGATGTAGGTGTGGAAACTGGCTGATTAAAATGGACAGGCAGTTTGAGACAAACATGTACGGGAACGTAAACGCTCATAACTTGTTTTTCAGAACTATCCACGCGCAAGCACCAGAGAGATAGAGATAGAGAGAGCGAGCAACATACCTATGCAACTATATCCATCACTTCCCAGAGTGTACCCTGCATCACATGAACAGTTGTAGCCGCCAGCAGTATTCTGGCAGTGCTGGACGCAGCTGTGGTTACCGGTCAGACACTCATCTTGGTCTGAAATATATTTCATTATACCTGTACAGCTCCACACAGTCACAAACGCCCGTTCTGTTTCGTTTCTCTTTCAGATAAGCACTCCGCTAACACTTTCTCAGATTCAGCTCCCTTCCAATCTTTAAACATCTTTTTCACATGGGATGTGTTGGGGAAGGTGAATGAAACCGCGCTTAAAATGCAAACGTTTTCAGCATTTCATTATTGATCGCGTAAGTGTTCAACACCGCTTTGACCTTACCTACACATTCCGTGCCATTGAGGAGGGAGAATCCTTTCTTGCAGCCACAGGTCTGGTTGCCAGTGGAAGATAAATTATAACACCAGCCGTTGGTAAGATCGCAGCCAAGAGAGTTGATGTCACACGGATGGGTGGCTAACGGTAAATACGCCAAAGACAGAGTATTCAATATATGTACAAAACTCAGAATGTCTGAATAATAGGGATACAAAACCGCATTGGGGACTGTACAGCTGTAAATTGAAGTATGATTGCACTGTCAATAAAGTCGTGTTGATTATCAGCTCAAAGCTACCAGTAGAGGAAATATTACACATTGGAGACACGTTTTAGTATTTTGCGTTGTACGTTCTTGTTATCACATAGGCCTACACGTATTCTTAAAATGGTCATAACAACAAATCCTGCTGAAGGACCTTTGAACAGGTGTGAATTCTCATTGTACTCCAAGCTTCTGAAAACTTACGGATACAGTCCTTTCCGTTCGATTGCATTACAAAACCAGCATCACACATGCAACGATAGGAGCCGACCTCATTGACGCAAATTTGTGAGCAGTCATTGGCAGGAGAGCATTCATTCACATCTGTAATAGGGCAAAGATGATTGTGTATATTTTATGTCATAATAAATAATAAAAAGAGATAAAATGTTGGTATTATAATCTAACTTTTTAAGGTTAAAAAGCAAATGATAAAACCGTAATAATCATCCAAAATTTGGTGCACAAGAATAAGTCTTTAACAATTCCAAAACCATCAGTTAGTTAATTAAAGCATAAACAGGATTACTAACAGAACTGCATTAATTAAATTGAGTAATGGCTGCATTTTAGTAGATACTAGTAGTTATTACATGTACAGTATATTAAATATGAATGTTTATTACAAGTCACAGCAATATCAACTGGGAAAAGGTTCTGGAAAATCTTTTCGAAATACGCCGCTAAATGGAACTACCCAATCACCTTCACAACTGAAGCCGTCTGCTGCAAGTGTATATCCGGTTGCGCATGAGCAATAGTACGATCCAGGAACGTTCACACACGCATCCTCGCACGGATTCGTATCACATTCGTCAATATCTGTAATGTCAACATTTACGCTGTCACAATTCTGTGAGGAGATAAATTCAATTTAAGTATAAAACATGATTGTCTACAGATCTTAAGAAGTGTTCGTTTAAATTTATAACAGATGCACGAAACATATCATATTTCAAGATACAAAATCAGCTTATAACGGTGTAGTACACATACAGTTGGTGCTTTCGAACCTACTTGACTGTATCAGGTACAACAATGATTTTGGTATCTCAATAATTTATCAGATAAAGTAAGAAAAGCAAGGTACCATCGCACTGTTTTCCGTCTCCAGAATAGCCATGTGGACACGGTCCGCACGAGTAACTGGACACGTTGACAGTGGGCGTGGTGCTCAGACAGCGGATGCCAGGGAAGCACGGGTCGTCAGTTGCTGCGCATGCGTCAATGACATCTTCACAGTGGGTTCCTGAGTAGTTGTCTGGGCATGTGCATTCCAGTTTTATGAACCTGTTCGTAATAAGGTTATTCATGTACATTCTGTCTGATGATGTCATAATCATAAACGAGGCAACACTTTGAACTCGTTCTGGCGTTCGAGCATTCCCATATATTTTTTAATGTGCTCTATTAAAAAAACTTTCAAGAGCAAGAAGAAAATCCGCGTATACATTCTTAGTCAAGGCGGCGTAATATGAACACATGTGTACACTTACTTTGCATCTGTCTTCCTTAGTTCTTCGTCAGTTAACTGCTCACAGGTCCCGCCATTAAGACAGGGACAGTACTCTAGCACAGGGGTGTACGAGCTGCTGGCGTTACTGGAACCCTGCAACAAAACATCAGCGTTTAGAAAACGTTTAAATACAGTTATTCATATGTGCATGCAAATGGTGAATTCTTTTTGAATGAACGACACAAACATCACACGTGCATTGGCATATTGAACGACAACGAGCAACGATTTGAAATAAATCATTGCCACCCTTGCTGGTTTTAACGCTGCACCTTACATCAAATAACGGACCGCAGGATTTTCAGTTGGCAGCAGTTAAGCTGATTGATGGCTTGAAATATAATAAACAATAGAATTGTGAACGGTAAGACGAAATAATCGATATTGCATGTTGCATAAAATGCGCATAAATACGTAACATTTGTCATGACAAGCACTACTGTTCAGAATGAGAAGCATCGTACCTTGGCAACAAATGTCACGGTTAAGTTGGCGTTCACCGAGTTCAGAATAATGCCTATGGCGCCCTGCTGTTCATTCAGGACAGTGAAGTTAACGCCACTGGAAGCGTTTGTATCCAGCAGGTCCTGGATGCTGTCCCCGAACCGCGAGGAAATGTTTATCACTATCTGGGTGTATTCACCTATGTTAACCCGATGTGATGGTGGTCCGATAACCACAGGGGGAAAATTACCTAGAAAACAATCCGAGGTGAACAGTCACAGTTACAAGTAAAAACCATATTTGATTTCAATAGAATAAACAAAGCAAATGGAGACACGACGCATTAAACAATATTGTTGTTGTTAAATTCCGTTCCTGAAATGTACTCCCAGGAGCTGTTAGTTTAGACATTTAATTTCAATATTACGATTATGATTCATTTGATGCTTTAAATTTTGAAAGAAATTCAGTGATAAATTGAAAGCGCGCACAAACGTACCCAAATCTGCTACTGCTGCGTCAAACGCGACTTTCTCGGTTTTTGTGATTTCGCCAAACGTTAGATCACCAGTCTGTGCTATGTCAAACAGACACGGGGTGTAATCACCACACACTTCAAAAGCCTGCTGCTGTAGAGTCACATTATAAAAGGTAAAGTTATCTGTAAACATTGGGACGAACTCTGGGTCATTGTATGTGGCATAGTCCTCGCCGTCTGTATAGCAGAACGCACTCCCTGTTGGTCCGGAACCGTTGATTACCATCCCTGTGGATCATAAGGTTTATAAATACATTAGGTAACATTGTTCTTAGGAACTCTAATTACCAAAAAGCGGACTAAGACGGGTTATTAATTGGTCAAAACCCTTTCTAACATTGCGGCGAGGACAGTCAAAATACGCCCCCTTCCATCACATACCGGATCTACTTATCTAAGAATGTCTCTTGGACGTATAAAGTCGACTAATGGCTATGCAAGAGTGCAATCTCTCTTTCTCTTGATCGATTGAAGGATATTAGAAAATGTGACATCAAGCGTGTGTGTGTGTGTGAGTGAGAGAGAGAGAGAGAGAGAGAGAAAGAGAAAGAGAGAGAGAGAGATGCCCCAAAGAACTAGAGTTTTTTCAGTGTGGTCACGTTTTGCTAATATTCTTACACGTCAAACCAAAGAGTCTGTAAAAGTCTTCTTCAGATGATGTTATTGGTATTGCTGTGCCATTGAACGGTGTGAAATCGTCCGCCATATCTCCGTTCATTACTCCCACAAGCCCCCGCGTGCTATAGGAAAAATTGCTTGGAACATCAAGGACGACGGCCAACATATCCTGCAAGTAAAAGTCCATAATAATGTCAATTTAAAAATAGTTAACATAAAACAACTATAAACAATATGACATAAATAGCCACTTAAAGCTTTGAATAATAAACGGCGTTTAATGAATTTTGTTTTAATTGTTTAGATGCAAAATCAAAGCTTTTTAAAAGGTATCTCTTCCATTAGTTCAAATACCTGGTGTCATATACATGTACATGCATGTACATGACAAAACATAGATGCATCATAACTGGAAATAATCACAACACACTCACATGTTCGGCTTTCACAACGATGGCAATCCCGATATCGTATAACACCTCTACTGAGCTGTTGTCCGGCTTGGAGAGCAGTACACTTGCTGGCAGCAAAGGATGCGTACTGGGTTGGCTTGTATAGTTGCCAGTGTCCAGCAACGTGCAGTTCACATGCAACTCCAGCTCTGACTGCGTGTTGTTTCTCAGGTTCACTTGGATACCTGACTGGTTGGTGACCTGTATGGCGACTGCGGTCAGTATAGTTGCCTGTCCTGTGCCTGGAATATGCGGTAAAAAGCTTATGGATTGGATACTAAACGTTGGCATAAAAAAGCAATTTGATAAATGGGGAGCTTTTACTTGAAAATTGCCAAATAAATATCATTTCAAATTTCCCATTTATACCTATGTATGCTGTGAAGTTAAATTTATTAAGCTACCTTATTTTTGCACGCATTAATTTATTTGATTCATTAAAATGCGCCAAGCAATTTCGTTTTTATTTTTTTATAATCTGATAATTTTTGTATTTCCAATGTAAGTCCTGACACTGATAGTCCAGCTTACCTTTGGCCTTGGTCATTCTGCCTTGCATTTGCAGTTCGCCATCATTTACATCCACGAAAATGAATTCCCCTTGGCCGTTAAAAGTGTAGTTCATACCGTCCAAGGTCATCAGGTGTGGATCTCCCCATATAAGAGCTGTTTGACCGAAAGTAAAAAAAATACACTGTAATACCATTAACGTAAATGGTCTGCTCAATAATTGTGCTTTACGAGTTGCGTTTTGCTTTATGATTTACCCCTTACACAGGATGTGTTGTTTTTCTATTTTAAAGACGTCACTATTTCATTTACCTCTGCTTGGTTGTGTATAGCCAGTACAGTCTCTTGGTGGCCTGTGGTAGTAATAGAGCTGACACAGACCGTAAGACAGAACGCAACAGTTCTCGAAGGCAGTTCTATCGTCGTTCTCGGTCTGGAGAATAAAACGAATTCAATACTATCTACTGCAACGCAAGGGTTCACGATATGTTAATCGATTAAACCAATTGGAAAATAAAATCACTTATTTCTTTTCAGCTAATATTTTGTATTAGTGATTGAAAGTGGGTGCGATTGTGTTTCTCACCTCAAACCTACCGGCATGAATATTATTAAATCTTCGGTCACTAATGATGTCGGTGAAAGGGGACGAAAACAAACGGAAAATATCTTACCGATGCTACAACCAAGGCACCAGCCCGCGGCGCGTTCGTCAACAGAGAGCCAAAGTTCTTTGCCTCTGGATCATTTTCATAGCAGCACATCTGCCTCATGCCGGATTTCAGGAAAACTGTCGTATAGCACACCGTATGCCGGGTTGAATTCTCAAAACGGTAACTGAAAGTGAAATATTTAAGAACACGTAATTTTTTATTACATTAAAAACCTTGATTATTTAAGGAACAGGTTTTCGCCAGAAGTAATGACCCCATCTTGAAAGATACCAGAATTATTCTTAAGTAAATGATCATGAGGATAGTTGAAAAGCTACGGGATTGTTGTATGTGTACACAGGGAAATGCTCACCGTCTGTCATTCGATGCCTGTCCCACCTGGCAGGGACAAGGATCTGTGATTGTATTCTCGCGAGAATATGACGTTTTGGCCTCGTCCCGCCACCACTTGTAGCACTGTAACCAAGGTTCCGCTGTTCCACTGGAGTTGTCTAAGCGGAACGTGAAGGTGCCGATCTCTCCTAGTAAGAATATAAAGAGGTACGCTTATTTCACATGTTGCCAGAACACCATCATTAAAACAAGAATTAATGAAAAGACACTGGTTAATGCCGTATAATTACAATTTCAACTATCATTTAAAATCGTCAAATTTGCAGTTTCAAGAAGTGGAATCGATACTTCGTCTGCGTAATAGTAGTGTTAAAATTCATTTTGGTTTTGCCGTGCGTAATTGATATAATATAGAAACATTCCAATTTTTTGCCTTTTCCTTTAAGAAAAAATTTCAATTGTAGACCTTTTACACTCATTTTTTTCCAGAAAAGTTCACTATTCTGTAACATATTTATATGTAATATAAATTATTTCGATAAAATGACTCAAAAACCTCCTTTATTTACCCAGTAAATCCTTCGTAGACCTATTTCCTTTTTAATAGAAACAGTCTATGTTTTTATTACTGCTAATAAAAATTAACATTCAGTACTATCAATACTTCATTTTAAAAAGAAACAAAAATAATACGACTGTCTTACCAGTATTACCAATTGCTGTATCTGCGTTAATCATACTAGATCGGCCGCTAGAGGGAGTGTTTGCATAGTTTGCATACGTAGTGTTAGATCCGTCCCCGGCACTGAACCCCGCCACGGGCAGATCACGTGTGTCCAGAGAGAAGGATCCGTATGTAGCCACACTGTAATCTGCAAGAGGTATTGCATTTAGCATATGAAAAACCTTCTTTAAAAAGGAAATTATTTGGAACCACATTGCGTAAGTATTACTTAAATACGTAGGCTTATCCATGCTATCAACGACAAAATTTGTTGTGAATATACAATTAAGGAATTGATACCTAAAACAATGACTGTTAAATTAGCCACTAAGTCTTTTAAAAATCACTTTTATAGTTGCGATGAGACATTTACGACCTACTTTTAGCATTTTTTGATTATCAAAATTTAATTTGTCAGTTGTATATTAATATTCCATAAAACAATTGTGCTTTATTTTTTCCATTTATAAATTATATTTCAATTAAATCAAATTAATGAAACACATTTCCTTTGACACGCATACCTTCGAAAAACCAATTGATGCCGCCGTTGGGGTATATGAATTTGACTGCAGAATATTGTCCGTCAGTCGCCAAAACTGCTTGGAAATGGTTTACCTATAAATTTTACGCAGTGATTATCCACAGCACAGATTATTAGTCATATATACATGTACATTAACCATCAATTATGTATTTTCTTATTTTAAGTTTAAAATTTATTACTGCACTTAATGAACAAATAAACGTGAAAATAGTAGACATTTGCTTGGCCTTCCAAATAACCAGTAAAATATCAGATTTATTGTCCATTGTATTTTTGTAAAACCGTATACATTTCAAATGTTATATTAAAAATACGGTGGGCATGCCCGTAAACAAAATAATGAACAAATAGTTAAAATCATAGTAACGTACCACAGATTTCTATGTGGAATGAGTGAAAATAATTACGAACTGAAGTTTTTTATGAAAAGTGATATATAAATAAAATTACCGGTAAACCTGGTACTTCACTGGCACATCGAGAGCACCATGAGTTGGCAGCACAGTTGGTTGAATTGAAATCCCAGATGTCATAGCAAGAGCAACCTGTGTATGGCGGGAGATACGTCCAAGTGACCACCAGTACCCACAGGGCAGAGAAACCTGCAAGCACACGTTAAGATAAAACAACACGTCATACTGTTTCGAAACACGAACCACTTAAGTGTACTTTTGTAGAGTAAAAGTTTCACAGGGAAAGTGACGATAGGGTCACTGTTCCAGTGTACCTGTAGTTGGTATTTAAGGAAGGGAAGTACAGGTACATGTAATTGTAGTACACGTCCTAGTCACTATACTTACTAGGAGGAAGTTGGAGCGTGGTGTTATTTCGAACATCTAGTGACACTCTTTGGATAATTTCATCAGTGCCATTCTTCCCATCTCCCTTTTCATACGTTTGGTAATACACCTGGGGGATACAAATAAACAAAACATCAATAACACCGCTGTTGTGCGAATGGCACTAGTTTCCGTGTGGTGTCTTTAAGGTAAAGATCAGGATAGTGATTTCAAGAGATATCAAAACGATGTCTTTCACAGTGCCATTTACTAACATTTCAAACACGGGCTGGTCAAATTGTAACTTACAAAACGTACCAAAACATGTAAAAGTGTTGACTGTCTTTTAAGGAGAGACTTGTCTTTGAAAACCGCAACGTACAGTAGGGCACAGACCTGCGGCGGGTGAACGATTTCCTACACGCCTTACCTCAGTCTTTCTCTGGTTATCAAAACACTCCAACGAGGAAGCATCACTTCGCGACCAGAATGGCGCTACTGTCGCTTCTGTGTTCATCCAGCTGCGGGAGCCGAACCTTGAAGGCCACACGTTCTTCCATTTGTTGTTGAATTGAAGAATACCGTTGTCACATATCTAAATGTAAAGTATGGCAATGTCAAAACATTAGATGCTATTAAATGCAATCAAAAACAAAAAATGTTACTTGAAAATTCACTGGTAATTTTAATACTACATTTGAAATTTATGAGAGTGTCATGTGCATTTGATAAACACATCAAATGTATACCTAATATTGTCACATGACAGAATGAATCATAAGCGCTTTATGGTAGAGAATGGGCTGATAATACTTGACAGCTGACAATCACTGCCTTTTTATTTTTATTTTATTTTCTGGCGAGTCGACAGCATTGCAGTGCTAAAATGTTTCTAAAAAAAAGTCCCTTACGTGAACTCTATCATGTCTGGCGTTGTAGATTGGAAACCCTTCTTCCAAAGTCTTCACCTCAAGACATCGGAGTTGCCAAGATCTCCAGGTGTCCATTCCTCCAGGCGGAGAACGCATAGTGTAATCACCTGCAGCTGTCCCGAAAGGATACAGTTTGGTATCACTGAGCATGCCGAAAGTTGTGCTACTATATGGTGTTGTGTCTGTACCTGTGGTAACAGTGGATGCTGTGATGTCTGCATAGCTTGTAGACGTAGGGGTTGCTGTTTCCGTTTCAGCTGTCATATTATTTGTCACGGAAAGCACTGATGTTCCTGCATTTGTTGTCCCAACAAACGTTGTTTCTGTACCAGACGTTGTTTGTATATCTGTTTTAAAAGCTGAAGTTGTTGCTAATTCAGTTGTCACAGAAAACTCAGCACTTGCCGTACTATAGGCCGTAGTTTCTACATCGGTTGTCATGGGAGCCGTTGTTGTTGCTACATCGGTTGAAACAACACACTTTGCAACTGTTTTTGTTGTCACAGATGGCACTATAGTTACTGCATCAGTCATTACAGTAGACGTAGTTGCTGCAGCATCAGTTGTCACAGTTGTTTCTGCGCTAGTTGATAAAAGAGTCGTTGTGGTTCCTGAATCAGTCGTTACTGTTGTTATTGTATCTGTCGCTACTGATGTTACAGCATCAGTTATTAAGTCAGATGTTGTAGTTTCTGCATCAGTTGTTAAGGTTAACGTTGTAGTAACTGCGTCAGTCGATACTGTAGACGTTGTTGTTGATGACTCGGTTTTCACAGTTGTATCATCATCCGTTGTTAAAATAGACGCTGCAGTTTCGGCATCAGTTGTGGAAGCAGACGTTGTAGTTACTGCATCAGTCGTTATAGTAGACGTTGCTGTTGCAGCATCAGTTGTCACAATTGTTTCTGCGTTAGTTGATAAAACAGACAATGTAGTTTCTACTTCAGTCGTTACTGTTGACGCTGTTTTTGATGCATCAGATATCACTGTTGTTTCTGCATCATTTGATAAAACGGACGTTGTAGTTTCTGCATCAGTTGTTGAAGCAAACGTTGTAGTTATTGCATCAGTCGTTACTGTAGACGCTGTTGTTGCTGCATCAGTTGTCACAGTTGTTTCTGCGTTAGTTGATAAAAGAGTCGTTGTAGTTTCTACATCAGTCGTTACCGTAGGTGTCGTTGTTATTGTATCTGTTGCTACTGATGTTATAGCATCAGTTACTAAATCAGATGTTGTAGTTTCTGCATTAGTTGTTAAGGGAAACGTTGTTGTAACTGCATCAGTCGTTACTGTAGACGTTGTTGTTGCTGCATCAGTTGTCACAGTTGTTTCAGGATCAGATGCTAAAACAGACGTTGTAGTTTCTACATCAGTTGTTGGAGCAGACGTAGGTACAGCATCAGTCGTAACAGTAGACGTTGTTGCTGCGTCAGTTGTCAAAGTTGTTTGTGCGTTAGTTGATAAAACAAACGTAGTCTCTGCATCAGTTGTTGAAGAAGATTTTGTATTAACTGCATCAGTCGATACTGTTGACTCTGTTGTTGCTGCTTCTGTTGTCACAGATATTTCTGCATCAGACGTTACATCAGACGTTGCAGTTTCTGCATCACTTATTGAAGCAGACGTTTTAGTTACTGCATCTGTCGTTACTGTAGACGCTGTTGTTGATGCCTCGGTTTTTACAGTTGTTTCAGCATCAGTTGTTGAAACAGAAGTTGTAGTTTCTGAATCATTCATAAATGTAGACGCCGTTGTTGATGCATCAGTTGCCACAGTTGTTTCTCTGTTAGTTGATAAAACAGACGTTGTAGTTTCTACATCAGTTGTTGCAGCAGACGTAGGTACAGCATCAGTCGTTACAGTAGACGTTGTTGCTGCGTTAGTTGTCTCAGTTGTTTCAGGATCAGTTGTTAAGGTTAACGTTGTAGTTACTGCATCAGTTATTGCAGTAGAAGTTGTAGTGACTTCATCAGTCGTTACAGTAGACATTGTTGCTGCATCAGTTGTCTCAGTTGTTTCTGCGTTAGTTGATGAAACAGATGTAGTCTCTGCATCATTTGTTAAAGCAGACGTAGCTACTGCATCAGTCGTTACTGTAGACGTTGATGTTGATGCCTCGGTTTTTACAGTTTTTTCAGCATCAGTTGTTAAGGTTAACGTTGTAGTTACTGCATCAGTTATTAAAGTAGAAGTTGTAGTTACTTCATCAGACGTTACAGTAGACATTGTTGCTGCATCAGTTGTCATAGTTGTTTCTGCGTTAGTTGATAAAACAGACGTCGTAGTTTCTACATCAGTTGTTGAAGCAGACTTAGGTACAGCATCATTCGTTACAGTAGACGTTGTTGCTGCGTCAGTTGTCTCAGTTGTATCTGTGTTAGTTGATAAAACAGACGTTGTAGTTTCTGAATCAGTCATTTCTGTTGACGCTGTTGTTGATGCCTCGGTTTTTACAGTTGTTTCAGCATCAGTTGTTGAAACAGAAGTTGTAGTTTCTGAATCATTCATAAATGTAGACGCCGTTGTTGATGCATCAGTTGTCACAGTTGTTTCTGCGTTAGTTGATAAAACAGACGTTGTAGTTTCTACATCAGTTGTTGCAGCAGACGTAGGTACAGCATCAGTCGTCACAGTAGACGTTGTTGCTGCGTCAGTTGTCTCAGTTGTATCTGTGTTAGTTGATAAAACAGACATTGTAGTTTCTGAATCAGTCATTACCGTAGACGCTGTTGTTGAAGCCTCCGTTTTTACAGTTGTTTCAGCATCAGTTGTTAAAATAGAAGTTGTAGTTTCTGAATCATTCGTTAATGTAGACGTTGTTGTTACTGCATCAGATGTTACAAAATTTTCTGCGTCATGTGATAAAACGGACGTTGTAGTTTCTGCATCAGTTGTTAAAGCTGATGATGTAGTTTCTGCATCAGTCGTTACAGTAGACGTAATTATCTCTGCATCAGTTGTCAGAGTTGTTTCTGCGTTAGTTGAAAAAAAAGTCGTTGTAGTTTCTGTATCAGTCGTTACAGTAGATGTCGTTGTTACTGTGCCTGTTGATACAGATGTTTCAGTATCAGTTATTAAATCAGGTGTTGTACTTTCTGCATCAGTCGGTAAGGTAAAGGTTGTCGTAACTATATCAGTCGTTTCTGTAGACGTTGTTGTTGATGCCTCGGTTTTCAGAGTTGTTTCAGCATCAGTTGTTAAAAAAAACGTTGTAGTTACTGCCTTAGTCGTTAACATAGACGCCGTTGTTGCTGCATCAGTTGTCACAGATGTGTCGGGATCAGATGTTAAAACAGACGTTGCAGTTTCTGCCTCAGTTGTTAAAGCAGAAGTTGTAGATACTGCATCAGTCTTTACAGTAGACGTTGCTGCTGCATCAGTTGTCAAAGTTGTTTCTGCGTTAGTTGATAAAACAGTACTCTCTGCATCAGTTGTTGAAACAGGTTTTGTAGTTACTGCATCAGTCAATACTGTTAACTCTGTTGTTGCTGCTTCTGTTGTCACTGATATTTCTGCATCAGTCGTTACATCAGACGTTGCAGTTTGTGCATCACTTATTGAAGCAGACGTTTTAGTTACTGCATCTGTCGTTACTGTAGACGCTGTTGTTGATGCCTCGGTTTTAACAGTTGCTTCAGCATCAGTTGTTGAAATAGAAGTTGTAGTTTCTGAATCATTCATTAATGTAGACGCCGTTGTTGATGCATCAGTTGTCATAGTTGTTTCTGCGTTAGGTGATAAAACAGACGTTGTAGTTTCTACATCAGTTGTTGCAGCAGACGTAGGTACAGCATCAGTCGTTACAGTAGACGTTGTTGCTGCGTTAGTTGTCTCAGTTGTTTCAGCATCAGTTGTTAAGGTTAACGTTGTAGTTACTGCATCAGTTATTAAAGTAGAAGTTGTAGTTACTTCATCAGACGTTACAGTAGACATTGTTGCTGCATCAGTTGTCATAGTTGTTTCTGCGTTAGTTGATAAAAGAGTCGTTGCAGTTTCTGCATCAGTCGTTACTGTAGACGCTGTTGTTGATGCATCAGATGTCAAAGTTGTTTCAGTATCAATTATTAAATCAGAAGTTGTAGTGTCTGCATCATTCATTACCGTATATACTGTTTTTGATGTTTCAGTTGTTTCTGCGTCAATTGACAAAACGGACGTTGTAATTACTGCACCAGTTGTTGATACAGACTTTGTAGTTACTGAATCAGTCGTTACAGTAGACGTTGTAGTATCTGCATCAGGTGTCAAAGTTGTTTCTGCGTTAGTTAATAAAACAGACGTTGTATCTGCATCAGTTGTTAAAGCAGGTTTTGTGGTTAGTGCGTCAGACGTTACAGTAGACGTTGTTGTTGCTGCTGCATCAGTTGTAACAGATGTTTCAGCAATAGATGTTAAATCAAATGATGTTGTTTCTGCATCAGTTGTTGAAGTAGACGTAGTTGTTTCTGGATCAGTTGTCACAGTTGTTTCTGCGTTAGTTGATACACCAGACGTTGTAATTCCTGCATCAGTTGTTGAAGTAGAGGTTGTAGTTACTGCATCAGTCGTTACGGTAGACGTTGTTGTTGCTGCATCAGTTGTCTTAATTGTTTCTGTGTTAGTTGATAAAAGAGTTGTTGTAGTTTCTGTATCAGTCGTTACCGTAGATTGCGTTGTTACTGTCCCTGTTGATACAGATGTTACAGTATCAGTTATTAAATCAGATGTCGTACTTTCTGCATCAGTCGTTAAGGTTAACGTTGTTGTAACTGTATCAGTCGTTACTGTAGACGTTGTTGTTGATGCCTCGGTTTTCAGAGTTGTTTCAGCATCAGTTGTTAAAACAGACGTTGTAGTTTCTGCATTAGTCGTTAACGTAGACGCCGTTGTTGCTGCATCAGTTGCCACAGATGTATTAGCATCAGTTGTTAAAACAGACGTTGTACTTTCAGTATCAGCTGTTGAAGCAGACGTTGTAGTTACTGCGTTAGTCCTTACAGTAGATGTTGTTGCTGCATCAGTTGTCACAGTTGTTTTTGCGTAGGTTGATGAAGCGGGCGTTGTAGATTCTGTATTACTCATTACTGTAAACGCCGTTGTTGATGCATCAGTTTTCACAGTTGTTTCAGTATGAAATATTAAATCAGACGTTGTAGTTTCTGCATCAGTTGTTGAAACAGACGTTGTAGTTTCTGCATCAGTCGTTACTGTGNTGTTGCTGCATCAGTTGTGATAGTTGTTCCAGCATCAGTTGTAGTTACTGCATCAGTTATTGAAGTAGAAGTTGTAGTTACTTCATCAGTCGTTACAGTAGACATTGTTGCTGCATCAGTTGTCTCTGTTGTTTCTGCGTTAGTTGATGAAACAGATGTAGTCTCTGCATCATTTGTTGAAGCAGACGTAGCTACCGCATCAGTCGTTACTGTAGACGTTGTTGTTGATGCCTCGGTTTTCACAGTTGTTTCAGCATCAGTTGTTAAGGTTAACGTTGTAGTTACTGCATCAGTTATTAAAGTAGAAGTTGTAGTTACTTCATCAGACGTTACAGTAGACATTGTTGCTGCATCAGTTGTGATAGTTGTTCCAGCATCAGTTGTAGTTACTGCATCAGTTATTGAAGTAGAAGTTGTAGTTACTTCATCAGTCGTTACAGTAGACATTGTTGCTGCATCAGTTGTCTCTGTTGTTTCTGCGTTAGTTGATGAAACAGATGTAGTCTCTGCATCATTTGTTGAAGCAGACGTAGCTACCGCATCAGTCGTTACTGTAGACGTTGTTGTTGATGCCTCGGTTTTCACAGTTGTTTCAGCATCAGTTGTTAAGGTTAACGTTGTAGTTACTGCATCAGTTATTAAAGTAGAAGTTGTAGTTACTTCATCAGACGTTACAGTAGACATTGTTGCTGCATCAGTTGTCATAGTTGTTTCTGCGTTAGTTGATAAAAGAGTCGTTGCAGTTTCTGCATCAGTCGTTACTGTAGACGCAGTTGTTGATGCATCAGATGTCAAAGTTGTTTCAGTATCAATTATTATATCAGAAGTTGTAGTGTCTGCATCATTCATTACCGTATATACTGTTTTTGATGTTTCAGTTGTTTCTGATTCAATTGATAAAACGGACGTTGTAGTTACTGCACCAGTTGTTGATACAGACTTTGTAGTGACTGAATCAGTCGTTACAGTAGACGCTGTAGTATCTGCATCAGTTGTCAAAGTTGTTTCTGCGTTAGTTAATAAAACAGACGTTGTTTCTGCATCAGTTGTTAAAGCAGGTTTTGTGGTTAGTGCGACAGACGTTACAGTAGACGTTGTTGTTGCTGCATCAGTTGTAACAGATGTTTCAGCAATAGATGTTAAATAAAATGATGTTGTTTCTGCATCAGTTGTTGGAGTAGACGTAGCTGTTTCTGGATCAGTTGTCACAGTTGTTTCTGCGTTAGTTGATACACCAGACGTTGAAATTCCTGCATCAGTTGTTGAAGTAGAGGTTGTAGTTACTGCATCAGTCGTTACAGTAGACGTTGTTGTTGCTGCATCAGTTGTCTTAGTTGTTTCTGTGTTAGTTGATAAAAGAGTTGTTGTAGTTTCTGTATCAGTCGTTACCGTAGATGGCGTTGTTACTGTCCCTGTTGATACAGATGTTACAGTATCAGTTATAAGATCAGATGTCGTACTTTCTGCATCAGTCATTAAGGTTAACGTTGTTGTAACTGTATCAGTTGTTACTGTAGACGTTGTTGTTGATGCCTCGGTTTTCAGAGTTGTTTCAGCATCAGTTGTTAAAACAGACGTTGTAGTTTCTGCATTAGTCGTTAACGTCGACGCCGTTGTTGCTGCATCAGTTGCCACAGATGTATAAGCATCAGTTATTAAAACAAACGTTGTACTTTCAGTATCAGCTGTTGAAGCAGACGTTGTAGTTACTGCGTTAGTCCTTACAGTAGATGTTGTTGCTGCATCAGTTGTCGCAGTTGTTTTTGCGTAAGTTGATGAAGCGGGCGTTGTAGATTTTGCATTACTCGTTACTGTAAACGCCGTTGTTGATGCATCAGTTTTCACAGTTGTTTCAGTATGAAATATTAAATCAGCCGTTGTAGTTCCTGCATCAGTTGTTGAAACAGATGTTGTAGTTTCTGCATCAGTCGTTACTGTAGACGCGGTTGTTGATGCCTCGGTTTTTACAGTTGTTTCAGCATCAGTTGTTGAAATGGATGTTATAGTTTCTGGATCATTTCTTGAAGTAGACGTAGTTGTTTCTGGATCAGTTGTTGACATAGACGGTGTGGTTACTGTATCGGTCGTTACAGCGGACGCTGTAGTTTCTACATCAGTTGTTGACATAGACGTTGTGGTTACTGTATCGGTCGTTACAGCGGACATTGTAGTTTCTACATCAGTTGTTGACATAGACGTTGTGGTTACTGTATCGGCCGTCACAGCAGACGGTGTTGTTGCTGTATCAGTTGCCACAGTTGTTTCAGTATCAGTTGTTAAAATAGATGTTGTAGTTTCTGCAGCATTCGTTAATGTAGACGCCGTTGTTGCTTCTTCAGTTGTTACAAAATTTTCTGCGTCATGTGATAAAACGGACGTTGTAGTTTCTGCATCAGTTGTCAGAGTTGTTTCTGCATTAGTTGATGAAGCAAATGTTGTAGATTCTGCATTACTCGTTACTGTAGATGCTGTTGTTGATGCATCAGTTGTAACAGATGTTTCAGCATCAGTTGTTAAAACAGACGTTGTAGTTTCTGTATCAGTTGTTGAGGTAGACGCTGTAGTTACTGCATCAGTCGTTACAGTAGACGCTGTTGTAGCTGCATCAGTTTTAACAGATGTTTCAGCAATAGATGTTAAATCAGATGTTGTTGTTTCTGCATAAGTTGTTGCAGTAGACGTAGTTGTTTCTGGATCAATTGTCACAGGTGTTTCTGCGTTAGTTGATAAAACAGACGTTGTAGTTTCTACATCAGTTGTTGACATAGACGTTGTGTTTACTGCATCGGTCGTTACAGCGGACGTTGTTGTTGCTGCATCAGTTGTCATAGTTGTTTCAGCATCAGTTGTAGAAATGGATGTTATAGTTTCTGGATCATTTGTTAAAGTAGGCGTAGTTGTTTCTGGATCAGTTGTTGACATAGACGTTGTGGTTACTGTATCTGTCGTTACAGCGGACGTTGTAGTTTCTACATCAGTTGTTGACATAGACGTTGTGGTTACTGTATCGGTCGTTACAGCAGACGTTGTAGTTTCTGCATCAGTTGTAGACATAGACGTTGTGGTTACTGTATCGGTCGTTACAGCAGACGTTGTAGTTTCTGCATCAGTAGTTGACATAGACGTTGTGGTTACTGTATCGGTCGTTACAGCGGACGTTGTAGTTTCTACATCAGTTGTTGACATAGACGTTGTGGTCACTGTATCGGTCGTTACAGCGGACGTTGTAGTTTCTACATCAGTTGTTGACATAGACGGTGTTGTTGCTGCATCAGTTGCCACAGTTGTTTCAGTATCAGTTGTTGAAATAGATGTTGTAGTTTCTGCAGCATTCGTTAATGTAGACGCCGTTGTTGCTTCATCAGTTGTTACAAAATTTTCTGCGTCATGTGATAAAACGGACGTTGTAGTTTCTGCATCAGTTGTCAGAGTTGTTTCTGCATTAGTTGATGAAGCAAATGTTGTAGATTCTGCATTACTCGTTACTGTAGATGCTGTTGTTGATGCATCAGTTGTAACAGATGTTTCAGCATCAGTTGTTAAAACAGACGTTGTAGTTTCTGTATCAGTTGTTGAGGTAGACGCTGTAGTTACTGCATCAGTCGTTACAGTAGACGCTGTTGTAGCTGCATCAGTTTTAACAGATGTTTCAGCAATAGATGTTAAATCAGATGTTGTTGTTTCTGCATAAGTTGTTGCAGTAGACGTAGTTGTTTCTGGATCAATTGTCACAGGTGTTTCTGCGTTAGTTGATAAAACAGACGTTGTAGTTTCTACATCAGTTGTTGACATAGACGTTGTGTTTACTGCATCGGTCGTTACAGCGGACGTTGTTGTTGCTGCATCAGTTGTCATAGTTGTTTCAGCATCAGTTGTAGAAATGGATGTTATAGTTTCTGGATCATTTGTTAAAGTAGGCGTAGTTGTTTCTGGATCAGTTGTTGACATAGACGTTGTGGTTACTGTATCTGTCGTTACAGCGGACGTTGTAGTTTCTACATCAGTTGTTGACATAGACGTTGTGGTTACTGTATCGGTCGTTACAGCAGACGTTGTAGTTTCTGCATCAGTTGTTGACATAGACGTTGTGGTTACTGTATCGGTCGTTACAGCAGACGGTGTTGTTGCTGCATCAGTTGTCACAGTTGTTTCAGTATCAGTTGTTAAAATAGATGTTGTAGTTTCTGCAGCATTCGTTAATGTAGACGCTGTTGTTGATGCCTCGGTTTTTACAGTTGTTTCAGCATCAGTTGTTGAAATGGATATTATAGTTTCTGGATCATTTGTAAAAGTAGACGTAGTTGTTTCTGGATCAGTTGTTGACATAGACGTTGTGGTTACTGTATCGGTCGTTACAGCAGACGTTGTAGTTTCTGCATCAGTTGTTGACATAGACGGTGTGGTTACTGTATCGGTCGTTACAGCAGGCGGTGTTGTTGCTGCATCAGTTGTCACAGTTGTTTCAGTATCAGTTGTTAAAATAGATGTTGTAGTTTCTGCAGCATTCGTTAATGTAGACGCCGTTGTTGCTTCATCAGTTGTTACAAAAATTTCTGCGTCATGTGATAAAACAGACGTTGTAGTTTCTGCAGCAGTTGTTGAAATAGACGTTGTAGTTTCTGCATCAGTCGTTACAATATACGTTGTTGTTCCTGCATCAGTTGATAAAAGAGTCATTGTAATTTCTGTAACAGTCGTTACAGTAGATGGCGTTGTTACTTTGCCTGTTGATATAGATTTTTCAGTATCAGTTATTAAATCAGATGTTGTACTTTCTGCATCTGTTGTTAAGGTTAACGTTGTCGTAACTTCATCAGTCGTTACTGTAGACGTTGCTGTGGATGCTTCGGATTTCAGAGTTGTTTCAGCATCAATTGTTAAATCAGACGTTTTTGTTTCTACATCACTTGTTGAAGTAGACGTAGTTGTTTCTGCATCCGTTGTCACAGTTGTTTCTGCGTTAGTTGATAAAACAGACGTTGTAGCTTCTGCATCAGTCGTTACTGTAGACGCTGTTGTAGACATAGTCTCTGCATCAGTTGTTGAAGCAGATTTTGTAGTTACTAATTCAGTCGATACTGTTGACTCTGTTGTTGCTGCTTCTGTTGTCACAGATATTTCTGCCTCAGATGTTACATCGGACGTTGTAGTTTCTGCATCATTTGTTGAAGCAGACGTTGAGGTTACTGCATCGGACGTTACAGTAGACGTTGTTGTTGCTGCTGCATCAGTTGTCATAGTTATTTTAGCATTAGTTGTTAATTTAGAAGTTGAAGTGTCTGCAGGATTCGTTATTGTAGACGCCGTTGATGCTGCATCAGTTTTTGCTGCGTCATGTGATAAAACGGACGTTGTACTTTCTGCATCAGTTGTTGAAGCAGACGTTGTAGTTACTGCATCAGTCGTTACAGCAGACATTGTTGCTGCATCAGTTGTCACAGTTGTTTCTGCGTTAGTTAATAAAACAGACTTTGACGTTCCTCCATCAGTTATTGACATAGACGTTGAGGTAACTGCATCGGTCCTTTCAGCGGACGTTATTGTTGCTGCATCAGTTGTCATGGTTGTTTCAGCCTCAGTTGTTAAGATAGATGTTGTAGTTTCTGCAGCATTCGTTAATGTAGACGCTGTTGTTGCTTCATCAGTTGTTACAAAAATTTCTGCGTCAGTTCTCACAGTTGTTTTTGCGTTAGTGGCTAAAACAGACGTTGTATTTTCTTTATTAGTCGTTACAGTAGATGGCGTTGTTACTGTGTCTGTTGATACAGATGTTACAGTATCAGTTATTAAATCAGATGTTGTAGTTTCTGCATCAGTCGTTAATGTTAAGGTTGTCGTAACTTCATCAGTCGTTACTGTAGGCATTGTTGATGCCTCGGTTGTCGGAGTTGTTTTAGCATCAGTTGTTAAAACAGGCCTTGTAGTTACTGCATCAGTCGTTACAGTGGACGTTGTTCCTGCATCAGTTGTCACAGTTGTTTCTGCGTTAGTTGATAAAACAGACGTTGTAGCTTCTGCATCAGTCGTTACTGTAGACGCTGTTGTAGACGTAGTCTCTGCATCAGTTGTTGAAGCAGATTTTGTAGATACTGCATCAGTCGATACTGTTAACTCTGTTGTTGCTGCTCCTGTTGTCACAGATATTTCTGCATCAGATGTTACATCAGACGTTGTAGTTTCTGCATCATTTGTTGAAGCAGATTTAGTAGTTACTGCATCAGTCGTTACAGCAGATATTATTGTTGCTGCATCAGTTGTCACAGATTTTTGAGCAACAGATGTTAAGTCAGACGTTGTAGTTTCTGCATCCCTTGTTGAAGCAGACGTTGTAGTTACTGCATCAGTAGTTACAGCAGACATTGTTGGTACATCAGTTGTCACAATTGTTTCTGCTTTAGTTGATAAAATAGAAGTTGCAGTTCCTGCATCAGTCGTTATAGTAGACGTTGTTGTTGTTGCTTCAGTTGTCACAGATGTTTCTGCACTAGTTGATAAAACAGACGTTGTCTCTGCATTAGTTGTTGAAGCAAATTTTGTAGATATTGCATCAGTTGTTACTGTTGAAGTTGTAGTTGCTGCATCAGTCGTTACAGTAGACGTTGTTGTTGCTGCATCAGTTGTCACAGATATTTCAGCAACAGATGTTAAATCAGACGGTGAAGTTTCTGCATTAGTTGTTGAAGCAGACATAGTTGTTTCTGGAACAGTTGTTACAGTTATTTCTGTGTTAGACGATAAAACAGACGTTGAAGTTCCTGCATCAGTTGTTGACATAGACGATGTGGTTACTGCATCGGTCGTTACAGCGGAAGTTGTTATTGTTGCACCAGTTGTCACAGTTGTTTCAGCATCAGTTGTTAAAATAGTTGTAATTTCTGCATCATTCGTTAATGTAGACGCCGTTGTTGCTGCATCAGTTGTCACAAAAATATCGGAGTCATATGATAAAACGGACGTTGTAGTTACTGCATAAGTCGTTACAGTAGACGTTGTTGCAGCATCAGTTGTCACAGTTGTTTTTGCGTTAGTTGATAAAACAGGCGTTGTAGTCTCTTCATCAGTTTTGGAAATAGACGTGGTAGTTACTGCATCAGGTGTTAATGTTGACGTTGTAATTGCTGCATCAGTCGTTACAGTAGACGCTGTTGTTGCTGCATCAGTTGTTAATGTTAACGTTGTCGTAAATGCATCAGTCGTTATTGTAGACGTTGTTGCTGATGCCTCGGTTTTCACAGTTGTTTCTGCATCAGTCGTTACAGTAGACGTTGCTGATCCAGCAGTTGTTAAAGTTGTTTCTGCACTGGTTGATATAACAGACGTTGTAGTTTCTGCATTAGTCTCTAATGTAGACGCCGTTGTTTCTGCATCAGTTGTAACAGATGTTTCTGCGCCATTTGATAAAACAGACCCTGTAGTTTGTGCATCAATTGTTGATGCAGATGTTGTAGTTACTGAATCAGTCGTGTCTAAAGACGCTGTCATGAAATAGGGTTCTGTTGTCGCAGATGACGCTGTTGTTACTGTATCAGTTTCTACAGATGTTTCAGAATTTGTTATTAAATCAGATGTAATAGTTTCTGCATCAGTTGTTACGGTAAATGTTGTAGTAAATGCATCAGTCGTAACTGTAGACGTTGTTGTTGCTGCATCAATTGTGACGGATGTTTCGCCACCAGATGTTAAATCAGATGATATTGTTTCAGTAACTGTTGATGCAATAGATGTTGATTCGGCATCAGTAGTCACAGAGGATGTTGTTGTTGCACCAGTTGCCACAGAAGATACTGTTTCCGTATCAGTTATTGGAGCAGATGTTGTTTCTGCCTTAGTGGTCTCAGAAGATGTTGTGTCGTTATCAGCTCTCACAGAAATAGTTGATTCTGTGTCATTTGTTACAACAGCCGTTGTTTTCATGTCATCAGTCATAGGAGACATTTCTGTTGTTACATCAGTTATCAAAGTAGACGTAGATTTTGTATCACTTGGTACTAAAGTTGATGTTGTCTCTGCGTTTGTCGTCACAGTAGTCGTAGTTATTTCTGTGTCAGTTGTCATAAAAAAGGTGGTTTCTGTATTTGTTGTAACTAAAGGCGAAGTCGTTGGTTCTGCATTGGTTGTCATAGACGACGATATCGCTTCTGCATCTAGTATCACAGAAGATGTTGTTTTTGTCTCAAATGTTACATCAGCTGTTGCTACTGTTGTTATAGGCATGATCGTTGTTACATCATCAGTTGTTGCTATTGTTGTTGTAGGCATGGTCGTTGTTTCAACATCAGCTGTTGCTACTGTTGTTATAGGCATGATCGTTGTTACATCATCAGTTGTTGCTATTGTTGTTGTAGGCATGGTCGTTGTTTCAACATCAGTTGTTGCTAATGTTGTTGTAGGCATGATCGTTGTTTCAACATCAGCCGTTGCTATTGGCGTTGTAGGCGTGATCGTTGTGACTTCATCAGTTGTTGCTAGTGTTGTTGTAGGCATGGTCACTGTTACATCATCAGCCGTTGCTATTGTTGTTGTAGGCATGGTCATTGTTACATCATCAGTTGTTGCTAGTGTTGTTGTAGGCATGGTCATTGTGACTTCATCAGTTACTATCGTTGGTGTCGGCATTGTCGTTGTTACAACATCAGCTGTTGCTACTGTTGTTGTGAATAATGCACCTTCATCCGTTTTTCTTATCGATGTCTCCACAATCGTTTCCTCTTTAGTCGACGCATAAAAATATGTGTTTTTAGAGACCGTTGCTTCTAAATTCGTTTCGAAATACATGTCCCCTGTTGTTGATATTTCAGTTAATGAATCAAATTGAGGTCTACTTTCAGGAAACATTGTGGCCAGAGCAGTGTTGGACACAGGGTCAGTTGAGGAGTAGTCTAAAGAAGAAGTCCAAGAGTTTATCACAGATACTGTGTCTGGTTCGTAGGCCGTGCTGTCAGCCCAGCCCGGCGCTGTGGTAGTAAAAGACGAATGAAGTGCTGTCACTGAATCCCCGGCCGCTGATGTAGGTGCCATATTGGTGCCACTGGTATCGTCTACAAAACCTGGCAGGGTGATCGTCGTTGATTCTCCTGTACCCTGATCTATGTTAGAAAAACAAGTTATAAACTCAGATTTATATCTTATCAACGAGCTACTGTCAACGTTAATTTTCAGCATTATATAATATAATATTTGTACTTTCGTATGTTATTATTTATTTATTTATTTACGTATTTATTGTAAAATGCACTAATATTAAAGGGAACGATGCAATAAAATACAATTAACTCGATATCATGTAGTTTAACCCTTTTTTGGTGTTTGGACACTTTTTTCTTTTGAGATTTAAACTCAACTGACATGCGTCACAGCAATTATTTAAAGAATTTCAATTTAATTTCCCCCATTATGTAGTATGACTTTATGATAGTACATAAGTATTTTAGAGTGAAATAAAAAGACCGAATAAAAAAACTTGGCACAATAGCAACGATAATCAAGTGAAATGCGGCTGGGTGTATCTTACAGAAGATAAGAAGCTTAAAAGAATCAGAAAATCACTTTAAGTCTTATTGGCGTATAAAATGCTAGTCAGCTTGCAAAACGAACAAGAGTTCATACTTGTGCCCGGTTTAAATTTCTATTTCCATGTAATTGGCGTTTCTAACATTAAAAATATAGAGCGCCTGACTTTATTCATTGTTATGAAGAGTAAACACCTGTACATCTTAACATTTTTTATTAAACAAACCTTATTGAAGTTTTTCTTGTTTAAAGTAAGTGGATTTTATGCATGGTGCGGCGGTTATTGTGTACAGATCCTATGCTATTACGTGTAATCCCCGTATACCTGTCACCCCTGGAGTGTGGGGATAGCTGAAATTCAAGCACGCGCCCATTGACACTCCTTAAAGCCCACTCCAGGTGCCAACTTCTGGTGGTGTGTATTGACCGCATCGCTTAACGACACTACAACAGACGTGAGATCATTTCCGAGTGAGCCCCGATTGAGTTTACTCACGAAAGCAACGCCGCTTTGTCTCCAGGTGATGTACAAGAGAAGGTGTTTAGATATACCCTAGCTATCGATGTCTTCTAAATAAGCTTTCACTTTTACAGATCGGATATAAATGTAAACACAATAAATGATATTGCAAGTGCGCCGATCATTTGTTCTTTCGAGAGTCTAATAAAGAATCTGCCTTTTTTTATATCATACAGCCGTTCGATATTTCGAAACAAAATATAATTGTCTACTGATTTTTGACGAATTTTTAGCATTGTGTAAAACACAAAACTTCAGGGGGGTTTGGAGAACCGGGTAAGGGTTTTTAATATAAAAGTTATGCGTTGTCAAACATCATATTCAAATTTGCCTTGGGCCGGCTTTTATACTCTTTGCTGGGTCCTGGAGTACATGTAGGTATTTTTGGCGTTACTTTTGAATCAAAACTGAAGATTTGTCATTAAAATAACCGTTTAGTTTTTGTATCTAAGAAATAAATAAGTTTGATTGAAATGCATCTATAGTCTAAATTATTTACTTTGTATGAATCAAAACAAACAAGCATTTTCATGGTATAGTGCGGACGCATCCAATTCAGTCGAGATCACCTTTAACAAGTAGATATGAGAGTTAATCTTTTTTTCTTGTGGTAACTACTGACCCCATTGATTTCAGTGTCGTCATACTGCCATAAATACATCACCTTGGTGCTAGAATGTGTAACAGTAACACACAGGGTAGGAATCAAGTAGAAAGTCAATACATAACCAGACCAGTGCGATGACCAAATATTAACACTGATGTAATCAATCAAGTCTACAATTTAATCCCCCTATTCCCCTGCGACAATGTTTGCTGAGACACACTTAATGCCTATCATCGTAGCTACAATCGATAGTGTTGATGCGTATACAGTGAAATGTCAATATCAAAAACGTTGAGTATTCATCCAAAATTAGAATTCTTGGAAAATTGCATATAATAATCAATTCGCCTTAGGAGAACAAGTTCGTAAACCAAAAAGTGAAAACGCCAGAATCCACCTCCAGTGTTGGAGACTTGGTGAGGTGTGGGCGGAGAGGCTACCAAGCAAATTTGGACATGCGCATTGTGTCAAGAAAACTGAGATTTAACTCAACGGCTGGAAGTGGCAGATACATAATAATAATAATAATATTTATTTCTTATATAGCGCATTCCATTTTTTACATTTCAATGCACTTTACAAATAATTAAAAAAAGTCTAAAAATAACAATACATGAGAGGAAGAAGCAATCTACCATCAAATTCTGTTGTCAGTTTTGGGGTTAATTTTTAGACGACTGAGATTTAACCGGCTAATGTTCTTTCTACAAAATAATAATAATAATAATAATAATAATAATAATAATAATAATAATAAATAAATAAATAAATAAACAAATAAATAAACAAATAAAAAATAAAAAACTGAAGCATAATTTTTTCCGTCATAAAGCTTAGCCTACGACACTACTTTAGCATTCTACTGAGCAAGCTGAAGTTGCCCATCGAATCAAAGTAAACGAGATAGTATAAAAAATAATTCCAAATAGGAAGAAACCATTAATACATTCTCGCTGTCAGCCAGTTAAATTGTGCATTATCAATTTAGTTTTTACCGGGAACTTTACGTCTACATCGTTATGAACGCGTTTCACTGTTTGGTCGCCTGTAAAGAACGGACCTTTAGTAACCCTCGAAATAAATCCTCAATTTCCTCAAACAAAAAGCGTCCTGTGTAAGAGTGCAAGTCCTGATGTGAACGTGACCAATGTGACATAATTCTACCGACTATCGCCAGACCTACACAGAAAGACCATTGCACACAATGTTTTAAACCACAGTAAATAATACGGATTTATTGCAAGAAGGAATGTCGAGTAGTTAAGCGCTCTGCTTTATACAAATATACATGCATTTAGTTTTACCATTAAGAGGGAGTCTGATTTCAACGCCAACTGTTAAGGCAGGGATATCCCTGTAGGGATTTTCTCATCGCTTGCTGTTCTAATTGCCAGTCAACGAGGCTTTCATTTACGGCTATTACTACCTGAATGCACATTTTTCTTGATTAATTTCACCTTTTATGTTCTTATACACATTATATCCACTTCGATATCACGGTTAATAAGGCAGCATGGTTTGTACGTAACATGTGGTTAAAATTTATATGCAGGTTAAAGGAAATTTTTAAATCTTATACTGGATTTTCAATTTTTGTCTAGTTGACGACGTTGCGTCTATGTCTCGGAGACTTAACTGTGTTACTGAGATTACAGATTACGCAACAAGACTGAGAAAAGTTCACCTGTATTTTCAGTAGACCTACTGAAGTCTCCGAGAGGGAAAGGCAACATCGTGACCTAAACTAATATTATACGTCCAGTATGAAAAAATGCTTTATGTGATGCACGACTGGATGACTATTATACATACAATTGTGAACAGATTAATTTTCTGTTGGTTTGTCATAATTCATGAGTGAACCTTATATTCACCATTTTTAAGGCTTTTGATAAGCAATTAAAATATTCTAGCTCTCTTTGTAAGGAGCATTGAGATTATAATGGTATTCCCCCTAAAAATAAATTATTATTATAATTATTATTATCTGATTTGAAAGACCAAATCTATGAGCATTTTTAAATTAAAATTTGAACTGAACCCTACGCTTATATATTACAATAACCCGTAAAATTTCGACACGTTATGAAATAATTTAAAAGTTACGTTTATTTAAGTTAATTTAAGCTTGGCTTCAGGATTAAATTCGATAGAAAATACGTCATATTTCCCCGTTGTCATGGAGACGATCAAGTTTGGTCAAAGACGTCCGACTAGACCCTGGGTGTGGTGCCGATATCGATAACGGTAATATTTTTGGGCCTTGTATTTTATCACATTCAATTTGGGTACGCGTTCCTTTTTCGGATAAAAGAATATGCCTCTGATTGTGTTTTATCTCCATTAGTATGGTGTCGCTTTGGATATGTTGATGTCTACATGTATATACAGTGCTATCAATCGATAGCTAAACGGCACCACACTCCTTTTAACAACGGGAGTGGATGCCTTTATTACTTTGAGTATTACCGCTTTCTCGTTTCGCTGGGTAACAATGTCCCAAAGCTCAACATTTTTCATACTTCAACTTGTACTTGCCCTACTTAATATTACCAACAATTAACATCTAAATGTAAGTTGATTACATCTGGGCTATTTTAAGGGCGGGAGAAATATAACATGTATTCACTAAAAAGGTATCATTGAAAAATTATTGAATATTTTCGTATATAACTGTTGTGCAATTTGAAGTATTATCAATTCCGTGGCATGATGCACGTTCATGAATATCCCATCAAAAACATGTTTTTTAGTATTTTTTAAAAAAGATGTGCTATAGAATTGTAGATAGCTAAAGAATCATCTGTCCAATAAATAATATGCAACCCTTTTGAAAATAGCCCCATTTACATATTCAGCCGACTATCAATTAATTTTAAGAAATGTATTGCGCGTCGAAAAGCCAAAGGCTGAAAATGGCAGATACATGAGAGGAAGAAGCAATCTACCATCAAATTTTGTTGTGGTTTGGAACGAAAATACCGAAAAAAGGAGGTTAAAACCTCTCGTAGAACATTAGCATATCAAAATGAATCCCCTCATCTCACACTCAACCATATTAAGTCTCTATTTTAATGGAAGTTCTCACAGAGCTAATATAATTTTTATAATGAAAAATTAATTAAAATAAACGTTACCGGAAAACGTTATGTCGGTCGCTTGGTTTGCTGCTCCTTGAATAAACACAATTCCCGTGAAAAAACACACAATAATCTCCCATCTCTGCAACCAGGTAATTGTCATTATTGAACTGAAAATACTAAATCCACTGCCTCTAAGGCCGCCGGTGTAATTCTCATTAAAGACAGGAACGGTGTCGGAGATTAATTCAGTGGATTGCGGTGTTAAGCACGCAGACGATGGCTACTTTCTGCCCCAAGATTCAATCGCGGCATACTTTAATCTCGGCGACTGTGATCCGAGCGACATCAGCGTGGTGAAAACATGCGCGTCATACACTTTACTGACAGCGGGTCTCATTACGATTACTTCATTTCAAATGATTATCTTTATTTCAAACCAAATACAAATTAATGAAACTGGATGTATATCAAATAGTGGTCATTTCATTATTAAATATTTACAAAAATCTTGAAACCAAAATGACCACTTAGATCCCTGGCTGAAGGCGACTCACTTGACTGTATTTCGATCATTATCAAATATTTGTCTTTATTCAGAATAAATATATGACTGTGCGAGTTGTTTGATAAACTGCAGCTAACTTTTTAAAACCGTGTTATCTTTACTGGAACAATACAGATTTTTATACCTTATATGTATGCGGAGAGAGACAAGTGCAAGCCTAAATCAAAGCAGCTCGTTTATTTTTTAATTTTAAATTATTAATCAATATAAGAAAACACATGCAATATGACGGGTGCATAATGAATCACAATTATCGGACATGACATTGAGTCAAACTGGGTAAAGTTAACGTATATGTGCAAATGGTTTAAATGTATTACAAGCATCTAACGCAATGTGACGAATATAGATTAATGAACGCTTTTATTTAATCGGAGCATTGATCAATTCGAACATTTAACCCGGGTGAAAGAGCAAATATGTTTAGGGAATTCCGTAGGCGGTTGATCAAAGACACCTTCATCTAGTGCCACACGTGACCTTAATGCTGCTCCATCTGTTGGAGGGCACTGGAACTAGTATTGACTTGAATCACTGGGTATTGAAATACTTAATAAAATCCATGCATATGTGAACGACGGTGTTTCCACGAACGAAAAGAGATAGAGAGGGGGGAAAGAAGTTATTTACCACATATTTCATCAGAAAGTCAAAAATGACCATATTATTGGAATCTTCAATCAAGTGGCGTATATTTGTGAATTAAAAATATTTTAACCAAAGTTTTGACTACACTGAAAATGGCTGTTCCCTTTCCGAGCACATTATTCTTTCTTTTGGGAATGTGATCTAAGAATGCAATACAGAAGTGACATCTAAAACATGGTGTATTCCTACCTGTTGTACAATAGACTGTATTTCGTCAGAGCTTAAGAGAAAACAACAAGAGAAATAGGCCCACTCACTAGTCTGCCATTTTTACCGACCGCAACCTCCGCCAAATTCCACGAGACTTTGAGCTATCTCGGATGATTCCCATGATGCTGAATTTGAAGTTGAGTAATTTTTTAATCACTATCTTTCTCCAGTATCATTTCCTTTCCATGTGCTGTATGTTAGAATCATTATTCAAAAGCAAGATAGATCTGACAGACAAATCAAAATTATTTTAAAAAATTCGCTCTTACTGGTTTGTAAATTAAATATAAAAGAACTACCCAAGGATAAAACTTTCAAGATTCAAGTCTTCATTTTTTTGTTTTTGTTTTTTTTAATAAACTGAGCCATTAATCAGTGAGAAAAACATCTGCATTTTAAAAAAACATATGTGCTATTTCAAATGCATTGCATCTCAAGGGACTACGCATGCTTGAAGTGTACATTGTCCAGATTTGTCGTAACTTGAATCCTTTCATCCTTCTACTTTTTCTCCATTTCTGGCATCTTTGTTTACAGCAATAACTGTGACTAAAAACTAGTGTTACGTCACTTTTCGTATCTCTGTGCCGGCATTTCTGCACAATATTGCAAAATTAAGGGATACTGGTACCTGTATATTCCAAAACAACGTATCTAATATGTATGCAGTTTATAATGTGTCTGACGCAAAATAATACGTTGGTGTGACTAATTGCCTCTCTTTTAATATTTGTATCGGTCACGACGAAAAAGGCCGCCTTATACTATGTACATAAAATATTTGGCCGAAAAAGTTACATAAGAGAGCCATCACAATATCAATTAACATAAATATTAAATGACAAGATGATGTTCATCAAAAATATTAATATCATATATTTTCTGTCTATCATTTTGTAGAGAAGAGATCATTTATGTCAGTCGTTTGACGAGAGAAGAGAAAGGACTTTTCTGTGACGGCTACATTTACGAATAATTTTGGGGCACATTGTCCTGTTACTGACGTGCAACGCATTCAAGGTAAGAGAGGGCTATGAAAACAGCATAGACTGACAGACTTTTGGTTCGTCTTAACTGATAAAGGGCATTTTCTTCAATTTACAAATCCCTAACAATAATCATATAATTAATATTTAGAAATGTGTGTGAACAAGCGTAATGTCCGGATCTAAAAGAGCTTGCGGCGGATAGGCTATTTTTTCTGAAGAGAAAGAAGATAATTAAATCTATGACTTAATTAGAAGTAGTTGTAGAATATTATTATTACTGTATGTATAGCCAGCAGAACACACACACACTGAAATATATAACTTCAAATTGTAATTGCTCAAGCTACACCGTCTGCAAAAGTGCCAGTGTGGGAGGAGCCATGTTGCCAAATAGACTATAGAAATATTAAAGGATACAAAACCTTTTGCAAAGGGCAATTGAATTCGAAAGCTGTCTGAAAAATTCAAATCCATTTATATTGCCAATTATCCTTATTATACTTATTTGAGGGATTATTACGAAAAGCCGAAATCAATGCAATTGATTTCTTTCGGCTAAAAGATTAATTTATAGCTTATATGTTTCCCTCTCTCGCCTGCACAAGAAGTCGACGATGACGACCCTGACAAATATTTGTCTCATGGCTGCTATTGCTGTCCTGTCATGTGACGCAGCTTCGATCCCACTTTGTGAGTATCTATACAAATATTAAATTTAAATTTTAAATTCGTCAATTATTACTCATAAAACTACCGTTCTACGGCTTATAACATGGTCTGTAAAAGTAAAAGTCAAGTCATTACCGAGAAGCTAATCTGGTCCTTCCTGATGTTAATATTATCTTTATCCCAGTCTGGATGTTAGAGTTTACTGGCAACTTATCTTCAATATCGGCACGCCTCCGCGATTCCAGTACAACCTGCACATGCTACCGAAACCTATATGCTTGTAATGGCGACAAGTTTCCAAGCTTTGAAATCATGGTATTGCACGCACGCTCTACTTTAAATCAGAGCATTATGTACTGCATATCTGAAATATATCATTCTCATTCAGATTTGCGCAGATCCCGTTTAAATGATGTAAGACAAACCGATACTGTTGTCGTAGCTGTCGAAACAACTGCCGCTCCAGAGGCAGAAACGACTGCCGCTACAGCCGTAGAAACCACTGCCGCTACAGCCGTAGAAACCACTGCCGGTTCAGCCGTGGAAACCACTGCCGGTTCAGCCGTGGAAACCACTGCCGCTTCAGCCGTGGAAACCACTGCCGGTTCAGCCGTGGAAACCACTGCCGCTTCAGCCGTAGAAACCACTGCTGCTTCAGCCGTGGAAACCACTGCCGCTTCAGCCGTGGAAACCACTGCCGGTTCAGCCGAAGAAACCACTGCCGCTTCAGCCGTGGAAACCACTGCCGGTTCAGCTGCCGAAACTACTGCCGCTTTAGGCGTAGAAACTACTGCCGGTTCAACTGCAGAAATTACGGCCGCTTCAGCTGTAGAAACTACTGCCGGTTCAGCCGCTGAAACCACCGCCGCTTCAGCCGTGGAAACCACTGCTGCTTCAGC